CCACTATAGTTATGACCTCTGCAAGTATCACTAGTCACAGAAATTAGTACTGACATTTAATTCTCGTAGCAACTAAGAATACATACAAAACTTCTTGGTTAGCATTACATAATCTAATTTTTAAAATTATGCTTATATTCCAGAAGACAGAGGAATATAGTACGCTTAATAGTATTAATCCTAATGTATTTACTATTTTAAAAAAACTTAAAAATTTTAAAAACAAAATTCAAAAATTTCTACGAGATTAGTTGACGCCACATAAACCCATGCAAATCCTCCCATGTTCCGAACGCTGTTTTTATCATAACTTGTTTGCAACGCCAAAAGAGCCAATTGTTTGAGCATCAGTGTGGCCGCCCCAGCAGTGGCCGAGGTGCAATACGATGATAGCTGAGTGTGTTGCCAAAGAACGACCTTGCAACGACCAAAATCTTTGTGCTCAGGATACCTGATGATTGAGTCTAATGTGGTTCCAAGCTCCTCCTTGTTTATTGCTTTAGAATGTATGAACAAAATTCCATAAAGGGTAAGAGGCCAATAAAATGTATGAACAAAATTCCATCAAGCAAAAGTCTAATTTGATTAAAGATGAGGCGCAATTTAAAGTTTTGATATTTAATGCTCGTTTGAAGAAGCTTATCCACCAGATTTAGGTGAAGAAAACGAACAACAATTACGTCAAGGGTAAGAGACGCCAATAAAATGACAAATAAACAAATATTATTCTTGATATACACAAAGTTCTTTGTGTAGTGATAAAAAGGCTATCAATCAATTAACCACACAAAGTTAGTTAACCATTCAATAGACAATGGAAATTAATCAAAGTAAATCAAGTATAAAACTTCCCTATCAAGCTATAATGGATTGGCACCAAAAGTGGATGGATCGAGACTCCGACAAGAGCCGAAAATCACATAGCAACACTACACAAATTGGACCAAGATTACCCACTCAAATGAACCACAAAGAAATACCTAAAACCCGGTCAGAAAGACAACGCACAGAGGCGGTCGAACAGGGGCAAAACCTGGCAGTGGGTAAAGACACTCACCAACATAGTCACAATCTAGTACCCAAGTATCGGAGAAGAGCCGATGGTAAGGAGCAGAGGAGGTGGTCACAAAGAGGCTGAAGATAGAGGCATCCACGAAGTATGAATGAAGGAAGAAAAAAGGCGGAGCCAAGTCTCAATAATAATGCCAACGAGTAAGCCGTGTGTCATGTTAAAACACAAAGGACATACACCTATATATATGTAATAATAATAGGTCAAGTAATGGGTCGAGCCCGTTGAGTGGTCTTGGTCCTTCTTTGTAACTTCGGCTACCAATTGTGATTTTCAACCCAATAGCAAGTAAGTGCATTCAATTTTAAGTTTTCAATGAAACTAATTAAATATAGTATCCGTCCCGATTATTCATCATCGCTCCAAGGTTTATTTGATATCAAAGTACCCAACACCTTCTATGAAAATTTTATCATTTGAATCATCAATATCATATTTCGGTTTAAAAAATCGATACAACAAATGAAGT